CAATTCAAAATATAGAAATTTATATTCTATTTAATTTAAAATTAAAAAATTTATCTTATTAAATATTAATTCTTACAATTAAAAACTAAAAACTTAATTCAAAATTTAAAATTTTACTTTATTAAATATTGATTCTTACATTTAGGAACCAAAAATTATATATAAATATTTAATAAAGTAGATTTTAAAACATATTATGTTAGAATATATAATTATTTTTCAAATTCATATTTTAATATTTAATAAGGTGGTAAATGAAATAATTATATTAAAAATTTTCCTTTCATCATTTCTTATAATTGATCTGTTTTGATCCATAACCATAAGTTATAGTTATCAGCAAGCCAATAAATAGTACTTTACAGCATAATGTCTTAGATAACTTGAAAATCAACCTCCCATACATATAATCTTATGAGACCAAACTCTTAAATTTTATATAATTCATATTATGAATTCAAAGACTAATTAGTAATGTCTTTGTTTATTACCTCACTAACCAAACATGTTTCTGCATTTTCAACATATATATATATATATGTACGTATACTGCAGGTACTCCTAAAAGGCTAAAGAGGAATGCTAGCTGCACTCGCCTTTCTCCAGCACTCTCCAACACTCTCTCATGTGAAATGTACACGTAACAAATTTTGGCTCACAATTCAAAGTTTCCCACTAAAAAAGTTCACGTGGCTATTTTAGATGAGGGAGTGTTGGAGAGTGCAGCAAAAAGGCGAGTGCAGCTAGCATTCCTCAAAGGCTAAAACCCATACTTAGTAACTCTCCAAATCAATTTTGATTAACATTAATTAAAAATACAGATTTAAGAGGAGAAAGATTGGATATATTCATGACTAAAATCTTTCCAAACTCGCATGAACTCACACTTTGACGACAATTTAAATGTGCTCAAAAACTTCTAATAAATTCAATTGTCCATTAAAGTAGATTATCTAAACTTGATTTAATCGGGCTCATGCTGATAGTCAACCCAAACAACAATTAAATAGATAATAGTTTGAAACTTATAATCAATTTCTTCTCAACATTGTATTTGTCAAAAGATTTCAGTTTTTGATTGATCAAAACAATAAAATAGTATAAATTAAACCTAACCTTGAATCCTAAACCTTTGTATGATTGCTCTGATACCATATGTTGGAATTTTTAGAAATTGACATACGTAGAATTTAGGGTACTAAAGTTTAATAAAATAAATAACTTGCGTAGCTTAAATTTTCATAATCAATATATTACTTATAAATCTTCAAGGATCTTCATCATAATTAGGGATTTTATGATAAAACTTACAAAATCAAATATAGTTAGTGTTAGGATTTAAGTCCTCCTCTTCATAATCAACTTCTATATAGTGACAACCGATTGGTCATACTACTCTTTGATCTTCTTATTTATAGAGGTAGGGTTTTCTGAATGGGAAAGGGAACTTAACTTATTATAATAATCTTTTGAGCATCCCATCAAGTAACCCACCTTTACATTTTTAAATTTTACACATATTCATATCACACCATATAAAATTGAGATAAAATTTAGACCCATTTAGATCACATTATTTTATTGAATTTTACTCTTTTTTTTATTTGATTCAATTTTAAAAATCAAATACAATTAGTGACAGCTTACGTAAAAATTTTCCACCAGGATCATCAGTGTTTGAGAAAATGGAAGATTATGGACATATTTTATATACCAGATGGTGCTTCGTTCTATAGAATCCAGCTCCCTATAGTATTCTGTCTCCACAAAAGCTTGTCGTGCATATAACCAGCGGTGCTGGATTGGATTTGGGTCCCCAAATCTATTGCATATATATATAGGGCTCGAAAACGAAGGGCAAGTGGAATACACCCTATCTGACACTGGCTGTAGAACATTGCTCTTGGGTGGATTTGTTGGAGGCTTGGAGCCTTACTTGAGTTAGCTCAGTTGTTGTTCAGGCCCAGGATACTTTGCCACATCAAACGATGCGAAGTAATATATAATGGATTTAGCCCATTAGCTGAACCCATTTTTTTCAGCTCACCATGGCGCACCATCAACTAGGGTGGCTACTTCTTAATTTCCAATTTCGAACTTCATTTTAAGGGCCTGATGGACAAGGAGTGAATTTTATTGAGAAATTTTTTATTGGAAAAGTATTTAGAAAAATAATGTATAAAAAATTAATAAACTTTGTAATAAAATTTTATTAAAATTTTGTTAAATTATTATTTTTTTGTGTTTAATAAAAA